GACTTTTGTCTATAGGAAAGAAGATATTTAAAATACCCAAATTTTTTAAGTTCATAAGAAAGAGAGGTTCGGGTTTTGTCAAACATTCCAGAGTTATTAACTGACCGATTTTTTTATTCTCAATAAACACATAACCACACAGCTTCCAACACGCCCGGGGCACTAAATCCTATTACAACTGAAATTTCTAATCCACCTGAGACGGTTGAGTCCCTTCGCAAGTATGAAACAGAACCAGAACAAGCACAGAAATTTTTAGGTAAGGCTGAAATTTTCTAAGAATAACGTACAAACAATACATATGGTATGTTTTGATATTGGTTCTAACTAATGCCTTTGTAGATCGTGTGGGCCAGAACTTCAGGTGGCCTGCATCGATGGAAGATTGCGCCAGAGCCACGGTTTTCTTTTACTTGGCTGACGAATCTGCCTTGAAATTTGACGATGAAACAGCTTTCAATCTTATCTTCTTCTTTGACAATCTCGATAAAGGAACATTTGATGAATATAAGGATAGCTGGGTGTTGGTGTATAAACAAGAAGTGAATAAATATGGGACATCAGAATATACGAGCAAAGAACTAGAGGACCTCGAACAAGAAATGCCCGGTGCAATATATTTGCCAGTTGATAAATCGCATCTTGATAATCTTATGAAATCTCCGCCAGCAAAGACAGTATCTGCTCAACGTGTTAACCGAGAACACATAGTCTGAAATATTGGTTATTGTTAAACCAGTGCGATATATAAATATCAATATCGGTATCAATACTAAGTGCAAAAAAATAAATATGTAATTTTTTATATATTTACTTATTTACAATAAAGGTTCGAATTCAAGTTAGAAGATTAGGAACGACAAATTCTGTTATGCTCGAACATAATTTTAGTGATCCTTTCAAGGGCAATAAGCTGTATAAATCTGTTATTGATTCAGGTGCACCAGAAACGACCCATCTTTATCACATCCGTAATACACTTGGAAGAACAGGATAGAGAAATTTTGGTGTAGATGCTAATGGATATGGATGTTCTGCTCGTGTTTTGTATGCATAATCAACATTTGAAGTTGCCCTCGGAGATGATAACGGATGAAGTAAGTGGGTGAGTATAAATAATCTTAGAGTTTGGCAAAGAAAACCTGGTGATCAGGTAGACAGCTCTCTTGTTGGGACTAATATTCTAGATCAGTTTTCCTTCATACATGAACCAACTCAAGGATATAAGTTTTTAAAGGAAATGGATAGATTGCTTTAACAAATTTCATAGCTAGTCTTTCTTAAAATTTGATCTATTTATACGGTTAATGTTTAATTTTATCATTCGCTATAAATATAAGTAGAAAATTATAATAATCGGTTTTTCTTTCTATACAAAATTTTACAGCATTGTTAAATCACACCACTGGTGTTCAACACCACAATAATTTTTATTATAAACCACCGTGTAACATAAAGATCAAGTGTGATGTAAGTTTTTTGTTTTAAAAAAAAAGAGTATAACTCAAAATTCAATCTATAAAACCACTTTTTAAGTTCTAACAAAAAAAATTTCTTGCAAAATTTTGGTATAAAATAAGCTCTTATCTATTCTAGCCTTTAACCTTAACCCTAATCTTAATCAAAATTTAATTTTTGTTTTGATAAAAATTATTTAATTTATATGTTAGATTATAGCTCATTATTGTGGTGTTGAACACTACAGGTATAATATAAAGTTTTTGAAATTTTAATAATATTAATAAATTAGCTATGTATTTTGGCACTAATACTTTTACTTAGGATGTGTAGCACAGTGGTTATGGCATTATAGGCACTACAAATAACCAACAACCAAATAACCAAATGAATTGGTCATTGGTTATTTGGTCATTTTATTTTTGAAATGACCAAAAGACCTAATATAAAAAATAAATATATATTAAAATCTATTGCTACATAGTTAACCATTCAAAACTAATAACCTGTCAAATCTGATAAAAAATCAATTCACCAATTATGATGCACTTATGATATCTCAAGATCCAAAGATCAGAATCAAATAATTTTTTACCATTATTCTGTTTGTCTTATTGAGTCAAATTAAATACTAGTAATATCATTTAATTCTGATTACTAGATTCTAAGATATTGTAAGTGCATCATAATACCCTCTTTTACTTTAGAATACAGAAATATTAAAAAAAGTTTAGAGGCTTATCATTTTGAAAAATTACCAAATACTTAGGTTTAGCATATTATTTATAGGTCAGGTTCTTTTAGAACCACATTCATTGAATATGAATAATATAAATATTTTAAAGCTTTATTGAAAAAAAATATGAATTACTTTAGTTAAACATTATAACAATTTAAGAGGCTACGAACCAACTTGTATATACAATAAAAATAATATCTATTTACATACAGGATCTTTTAACAGATAGTATTATTACAACTGTTCATAAAATAGCATTATGAAACAAAAGTAGTTTTTATTATATATATAGATCATACTGAAATTACAAATTTAATCAAATTGGCTAAAAAATCACTCAGCCAATTTTTATCATTAGCACTAATATTATGCTACATAAACTTAACAAACTCAACTGCTATACTATATAAACAAATATCAATATCATGTATTTATACTGATAGCTAGCCTGCATTATGCAAACAAGTCAGCACTAAGCTACACAAACTTAATTGCTATATAATGCAAATAACAATATCACATGTTTATACTGACAGCTGGCCTGTGAAAAATCACCGGCTAGTGCTAAGCTATATAAACAACTGCTTATAGTTATCTCTCAGTACAATATTATTGTAGCACATAATTACAGCTAAATGAACTTGCCATTTTTATAATTATACTTATTAAATATCAATTCACATCTCATGTTCATATTAATAGCCAGTTTGCATTATATAGGTAGATAACCATCAGCTATCACTAAGCCACACAAACTCAACTGCTTATAGTGATTACCCAAAACAATATTATTTGCTATTTTTGGAAGCATATCTTGTTTCAGTTTCAATATTTTAATAATGCATAATTTGCAACTAATATAGTCTGCATTTATCAAATAAAATTAAACTCCAGTATATCAAACCAGATCATTTCAATTATAAGAAACATGTATACAATGCTTTTCGATAAATTTGATTGCAAAAATAATAAAGTATAACAGGTACATTTTATATTAGAAGTCATGATTATCACAAGCTTTATAAAATTTTAACTACAAAACTATCAAAAAAGTTTGTATAAAGATTTACATAAAGTCTTTATTATTTTATAACATATATATCTAAATGTATCTAAATCTATTTTAAGAAAACATAAAATTCATAAAATGAAAAACATGCTATCTTTTTTAGTCTCAAATTGGCTACCAAAAATAGTAAGGTATATACTTGTATCTGACATATACATGCCAGAATTTAGAAGCTACACATAAGCTGCATAAAGTTTTATAAGTTGTATAGACCAAAAAAGGCTAATTATATTTGTTAATTTTGGTTTGCATAACTTCTAAAAGACTTTATATTTAAATGACCAAATGACTTGGTTATTATTTTGGTTATTTGGTCATTTGGTTATTCAAGTCAAATGACTAGTTATTTCCTAATATTGTTATAAATCATGCCCAAAACTAAAATAGTTTATAGATCTGCTATTTATATAATATGTCTTGTTTTGACTAAACTAATATTTAAATATCACAAAATATTTCAAGTAGAAAATCAAAAACAATAAAATTATAAGAAAAAATTTGAAACAAAAATCTGAAATATGTCAAAAAATAATTTAACCATATTATGAAATATTTATAATATAGCATGGTTTAAATTTTGACTAATAGTATACTATAGAGCAGTGTTGTTTATTTTTGATATTTAAGACAAATTTGGTAAACTGAACATTTTTGGATATTGTCTGATGTCTAAGTCTGAATTTTGTTTGTATGAATATATTGTCACTCAGACAATATCCAAGTAATATATCTTGAACTTGGACATTTTTAAACATGTCTGAGTTTGTTATATGAATTTCATTTATTATATTTCAATTTATTATTTATTTATTTATTTATTTTTTAGCTCTTTGATGGTCTTGTTGAAGCTGAAATACAAGCAACTTTATTTAAAAACCAGTGATAGTAAAAATTATTTCTAGACTAAACAAGTTAGAAGCAAGAAAATTGCCAGCTTAATATCTACCAGCTATATAAAACATGCTTATTAGTAACCTATTGCACTATCTTGTATACAAGTTGGATAAACTTTGTCAGCCCATTACAAGCTAATTCCTTCAATTCTTCTTTTTTTATCAAAAGCAAAAAAAAGTAATGATTTCATATCAGACAATACAAAATTACCAAATAATAAACAAAACAAAACTATATTTAATAAAAAACAAAATAAATGAAAGAAAATTTTAAAGAAAAATAAAAGAAGAAACAAGAAAATGCAAAAAAAAAAATGAAAAGAATAAGCCTGTTAGAGCTAACAAAGAGGAAACTACCTCTATCAAGAAGTAGTGAACAACAACCCAAAAGTTATAATGACAAAAAAAAGAAAATGCACTATTATAACCTGTGCTAGATGAAGTAAAAATTTTATAACAACTACAACAATTGTATATCTTTAATATAATACAACATCTTGCTTTTTTAATATCGCATTGATATTCTTAATCACTGTTGTTTAATAGTATGTGAATGTGTTTTAATTACAGTTCTGCAGTTATATTTCTAGCAACATATATGTATTCATTGTGTATTGCTCTTTTGGTATTACTATTGGTATTCATATTTAATTGCTAGTGTTTGTTGGTAGTCTGTGAATGCATTTTAACTTACACTTTCCTTTCTAGCAGCATTCTTCCAATTTGGTATTCGTTGTGTCTTGCTCTTTTAATATCACGTTAATATTCTTAAATGCTGTTGTTTAGTAGTATGTGAATATGTTTTAACTATAGTTCTGCAGTTATATTTCTAGCAACATATATGTATTCATTGTGTCTTGCTCTTTTGGTATTGTCATTGGCAGTTAGATCAAAAACTATATGCACAATGTGCATGTACTGTACAAATTCTGATATATATGTGAAAAATTTGATGCATATATGTACATATAAAAAAAAATTTTTAATGCACAGATATTTTTATAAATTAACATGATTGAATAATCAGTATAATATCAAATATATAAAAGTATGAACTCCATATAAGAAATTCAATAAAGTAATTATGAAACTATTTAATATATGAGTATTTTATTTTATTAGTTTGTTTATTTAAAATCAGCATCTCATTTTCACAACTTTAAACCATTAAATTCAGAAAGTTAACTTGTAGGTTGCTAGTAAATATTATAATAAAAGTCTGTTTATAAGTATTTAATTTATTTTATTCATATTATAAAAATTGTTTATTAGTCTATATATTTAAATTAATAATTTCAAATATATAAATACTTATTCAAGATTTTTTTATTAAGTTATATATTTTATCAATTCATTTAATTTGTATTTTTTTGGTAAGATAAATACTATAGTAGTTATTATATTTATTTTAGCTATTAGTAACAAATACCATCTTTTTTTTTGCGTTAATAAATAATCAAAAAAAGATATAACAGATTAATAATAGTTAGTAATAGCAAAATTTAGTTTCATTTATATTAATTGGCTATTAAGTATAAAGATTATTCATTACAGCACTTTTCAAATTACTTTGACTAGCAAAATCTAAATATTACACACATTTTCAGAATTCTAATTCTATTGTAATAAATTATAGTTATCATATAGGTATATAGTAAATAACCTATTTACACATGGGTTCATATTTAAATTTCATGGCCGAAGGCTACTGAATTTAAATATGAACTCATGTGCAAATAGGTTGTTTACTACATACCTATATGATAACTATATTATCGTACAAATCTGATGTAACAACCTGTGTGATTATTTAAATTAATTATTTAAACTATCGATCACTTTTTAAATTACTTTTTAAAGATTAAATATAAATAAATAAGTTTACACTTTTAATTGCACTCTTTTCTATTGCTTACATTTTCTTATTACTCACTCCTTATTGCTTACATTTTCTTATTGCTTACATTTTTTTATTGTTTACTTTTTTCTTATTGCCTATTTTTTTTTAAAAAACATGAGTACTGATTTACAAAATGGAGTGCATTATTTTACAAAATTATCTTGAGTTAGTAACACAGACAAAAATACAGAAAAGTGGTTACGACATGTTGATCATTATAGAAATGAGCAAAATATTGAAAAAAAAAATTAAATGAAGTTGACAATAAAGAAGAACTCAATATATATCTTGCATTGTTTATTGCATGGATTAAGCAAAAAGATGTGACTCCTTTTAAAGTTGAGTCTATGTATAATTGTTATGCTGCCTTATTTCACTACTTAAAAGAAAATATTGCTATTCAAGGTGAAGTTTATATATGGAATAGATATAATTTTTCAAAAGCATTAAAATATTTAAATGGAAAAATGAGATCTTTACAGAATGATAGATTTGGAAACACAGACCAAAGTAGTACTTTAACTTCTGATAAGGTAGCTTCTTGTTTAAATCACAACTTTCTATCTATCAATAATAATAATAATTTAATTTGACAAGTGTTTTTTGGTTGTTTTTATTATGTGGACTTCGAGAAGGAAATACTTACAACTTGCAATATTGAAATGTTGAATGATGTCAAAATGGTGGATTGCAATTACGGCTTAGAAAAGAAAAAAATAACCAAGGTGGTATTTTTTATCGACAATGATATAGATTAACTAGCACCAAAACTATTTCAATTCTACCTGATGATGACAAAAACAAGTTTAAGCCAGTTAATGATATTTTACTATATTTATCCAAGTAACCAAATGAATGCCAAGCTACTGATGCATTATTTTTAAAAAGTGTACATAAAAAGGCTGATATTAAAAATAGAATTTGGTATTGATCATCTCAAATAGGTGAAAATAAGCTTAAAAAGATGTTATATCAAATTGCCTTAAATACCGGAATTAAGCTTGATGATTGCAAGATTACAAATCATAGTGCACAATGTAGTGCGATTATGATTCTTAAAGCAGCAGATGTTCCAGAAAATGAGTTAATGAATTTTTCAGGACATAAATCCCATGAAGGTATCAGATCATATAGCAAGCCTACTAATAATCAAAAATTAAATTCCACTACTATGTTAATTCCAAATGCAACAAGTGATAATAATCTTGAAGAATTTTATTCTTACCTAGGTGAAGTGTATACTAATTATGAATTAGAAATAGATAATAAGGATGAGAATATTAATGAAGCTAAAAGTGTTAAAACTGTGAATATTAGTAATAACAATGAACATGAAGGTATAAAATTTTTTTTTAAAAAGTTTCTTGCACTGTATTATTTACTATTTGTTATTATATAAATTTAGAAGAATATATTGAACCTTCAAAAAAATTAAAAATATCTAAGGTTTCTAGACAATCTCAATGTAAACTAATAGTTTATGCACCATTTAAATCTCTTTATTTGAAGCTGTCTAAACCATCTTTAAAGATCCAATCAAAACCTCAAAATCAACAAATTGAATATCAAATCAATACTACCAATACTACTTATTCAACTCAACAATAGCAATTTTATCTGAATCAACCAGTAAAACAAGTTAAATTGAAACCTCAGAATCAACAAATTGAACATCAAATCAATACTACCAATACTACTTATCAACAGCAATTTTATCCGAATCAACAAGTAAAACAAGTTCAATCGAAATCTCAGAATCAACAAATTGAACATCAAATCAATACTACCAATACTACTTATCCAACTCAACAACAGCAATTTTATCTGAATTAACTAGTAAAACAAGTTCTTACCTTCATTACACAAAATATTATACTTCAAATCCCTCCTACCAATAACCTTTAATGATTATATTAAACCTTAAATTTGATAGTTAAATAGGCTTCATTAAATATATATTGATATGATTTGAAAACTACTAGCTATTTTACTATAACTGTAATAAATAAAGCACTTTATTAGTATATTAACATGCAATTTAAAATTTCAGTTTGCAAAATATAACAATTAAAAAAAAATTTCAATTGCACAGATCTATATAAAAATTATGTGATTTTCATATAGACCCACGTGAATAACCACATTAAATGAGCATGGGTTGTTATATAAGACCCATATGATAAATAAAATTTACTGGTCATAGTAATTTAAAAAATACAATAATATATATTTGCATTTAAAAATCAACAATTCAAGTTTATATATGCTTATTGTTTATTTCAATTTATTTTAATCATAATAATTTTTATTCAATTCTAATCAACTCAATAGCAGACAACTTAGTCCAATAATTAAAAATATATTTAAATTATATATTTTTGTATATCAAAATATAAAACTTTTTTAATACACAAAATTTTTTGTATACTATTTTTATTAAATTTTTTTTTTTTTTTTTATATATATTGCCAAATATAAAAACTTTATTAGTCATGATTAACACCTTTTTACAGAGCAGTTGATATACAGTTTCTAATTATATTTGTACTACTATTACTAGTCACCCAATGTGGCATTATACTCCTTATTTTCTCT